CCCTTGTGAATTTTTACCTATAGATGAAGAGTAGTTTTTCATGTTTAGAAGGTCCTAAGGATCATTACTGGTCAATTCGAGCTCAATTAGGCTATTTTGAAAATTTGACCCCGATGACCCTTATGTAACCACTGATGCCAGACAGAGGTGTACGAGGTGTCACTGGTTCAAATTTGAATGAATTCGGTTCAATCGTTTGCCATTAGTAACATTTTGAACCTTTGACCTATGAACTTTGACGTATGGGGTGAAGAGTATTTTTTCATGTTTAGAAGGTCCTAAGGATAATTCCTGGTAAATTTGAGCTCAATTGGGCTATTTTAAAAATTTGACCCCGATGACCCTTATGTGACTCCTGATCCCAGACTGGGGTGTAGGAGGTGTCGCCGGTTCTTAATGACGAAATTTGATTGAATTTGGTCCAATGGTTTGCCAGAGAGAACAAAAGAATAACCCTTTAATGACCTTTGACAGTAAATCGCTGAACACCATATGAGCCCAGGACAAGACTGTGCTATGATATTTGTGACAGGAGAAGTCTTTTATTCATTTTTTTGAAAGTTTTTTACCCTAATGACCCCTATGTGACCTTTGACCCCAAGCAGTAAACACCATGTATGAAAGGTGTCACCGATTATACTGACCAGGTTTGGTTGAAATCGGCACAACCGTTTAGCACTAGTAGCGTTTTGAAATGTTGCCAGAAAAAAGATAAAAAATACCCCTTAATGACCATGGACCCCTTATCCCTGAACACCCTATAGACCCTGCCTTATGCCAATGTATATGTGCAAAGGACAACACTGTGCTACGTTATTTGTGAGACAAGTAGTCTTTTTATACGATTTTTGGTCCTAATGCCCCTTATGTGACCTTTGACCCCAAGTTGTGAACAACACATAAATGGAAGGTGGCACCGGTCCTACTGACCAAGTTTTAGTTAAATCGGTCCAGTAGTTTGCCACTAGTAGCCTTTTAAAATGTTGCCAGAAAGGAAGAAAAAACTAGAGATACTATGTTCAATAGAACATGAACCCAGTCATTTTTTAAGAGATAACCACTGTGACCTCAACCTGTGAACACCCCATGTTTGGTAGAAGTCTGTCTAATGCAATTGGTTGAATCGTTAGTCACTAGAAATACTTGATAATTTTCACTATAGTGACCCTTTTGAATTTTTACCTATAGATGAAGAGTAGTTTTTCATGTTTAGAAGGTCCTAAGGATCATTACTGGTCAATTCGAGCTCAATTAGGCTATTTTGAAAATTTGACCCCGATGACCCCTATGTAACCACTGATGCCAGACAGGGGTGTAGGATGTGTCACTGGTTCTTATTGGTCAAATTTGATTAAATTCAATTCAATCGTTTGCCATTAGTAACATTTTGAACCTTTTACCTATGAACTTTGACATATGGGTAAAGAGTTATTTTGTGTGTGTGTGTGTTTAGAAGGTCCTAAGGATCATTCCTGGTAAATTTGAGCTTAATTGGGTTATTTTGATAATTTACCCCAGATGACCCCTATGTGACCCCTGATCCCAGACTAGGGTGTAGGAGGTGTCGCCGGTTCTTAATGACAAAATTTGATTGAATTTGGTCTGCCATTAGTAACATTTTGAAATGTTACTAGAGAGAACAAAAGAATAACCCTTTAATGACCTTTGACCATAAATCGCTGAACACCATAAAGACCCTACCTTATGCCAATACATATGTACCCAGGACAAAACTGTTCTATGTTATTTGTGACAGAAGAAGACTTTTATTCATTTTTTTGAAAGTTTTTTACCCTAATGACCCCTATGTGACATTTGATCCCAAGCAGCGAACACCCCCATGTATGAGAGGTGTCACCGATTATACTGACCAGGTTTGGTTGAAATCGGTACAACCGTTTGGCACTAGTAGCGTTTTGAAATGTTGCCAGAAAAAAGATAAAAATTACTCCTTAATGACCTTTCACCCCTTATCCCTGAACACCTTATAGACCCTGCCTTATGCCAATGTATATGTGCAAAGGACAAGACTGTGCTACGTTATTGGTGAGACAAGTAGTCTTTTATACGATTTTTGGTTTTTTGACACTAATGCCCCTTATGTGACCTTTGACCCCAAGTTGTGAACAACAC